CCATTGTCGTGGCAGATAATCTCTCTCTCTCTCTCTCTCTCTTTCTCTCTCTCTCTCTCTTTCTCTCTCTTTCTCTCTCTCTCTCTCTCTCTCTCTCTTTCTCTCTCTCTTTTTCTCTCTTTCTGTCTCTTTCTCTACCTGTCCTGTTCTTCTGCTTTCGCTACTCGTTTTCCTCTTCCGCCGCGAACGAGTCTTTTCCAACTTTGTACTACTTGCGCGCCGCTTGTTGCGTCTCTTTCGTGCTTTTTCTCGTGCAGACGACACGCTATTGATTCCATAATATTTGTTAATCTAGTTTTTTACATCCCATACTTTTTGAGTATCAAAATTTAATTTATTATTTATTATTATTAACATTTAATTTATTATTTATTTATTAATTTTTTAAATAATCTTTTTTATTTATCTGTAATGTTTTATTTTTGTTTGCTTTCTTACACTGCTGATTTTCTAGAATAGTGTAATTTTTTTATGTTTTATTGTTTTTTTTCAAGAAGTTCCAAATTCTTGAAAAAATATTTTGTTTTTTTCTTGTCTTGCTTTTTTATTTTCTTTTATGTTGTCTTACCTGCTGCCCTCTTTTCCTATCGAGATACGTACACTCGAAACATATCCTTTAGCCTCATTTTCTCTTTTACCTTTTACTCTATCGCTTTTGTTGCTCTTTCTTCTTCCTCTTTTTCTTCTTCTTCTTCTTCTTTTTCTTCTCCTGCGCTTATATTTTCCTCGTTAGTAGTTAGATCCTCGTTTACGCTGTGAATATGCAAGTAGTTCTCAGTATATCGTTAAATAAAGTGAAGTGTTGGCTTGTGCGAAAATAATACGTGCGAGGATAACGAGGAACACGTCGAGTGAAGAATCACGTGTTGTGGCTGTCGAACGCTGACACGATTCAGGTGATGAGTTGAAACGGCGCCGAAACACAATATAATGAGACTGTCCGTCGTGTTTATTAGTGTACGTGTGATTTGCTGCATCATGTTGATCAAAAGAACAAAATTGCAAGCCAGATCTTGACACACCTTCAGTTCTCAGTACCATCATCGACCCACTTTTTGTATTTGCTTAGAACAGCACGGTCACAGAGAAGAAAGCGTCCAAATATGTTTTTTTTTTCGTAGCTCGAAGAGAGAATGACGCAGAAAACGAAGAAATTTGTCATCGTTTTGGTGAAATCTCATTTCGTAAATAAATTATTTTACAAGCGTAAAAAACACCGTGCAAATAAAATTTATTTAAACGGATCGTTAAAAACAATCACGTGATAAATTCGTCGAAAATGGCTGTAAAGATTCGGGTCTATAAAGATTCGAAGCTTTTTCTTTGACGAGATATTATTTTCCTCAACTCTTTCCAACACTTAACGCTGATCGTAATCGTAAGACGTCTGATGATCACGTCTGTGGAAATAATCGCCATAATAAGCGCGACCAATTCTTTTATATGCGTAACGATCATTTTTGAAATCTGACGAGCGTCGAAGTTCTTTCGTTGTTTAACCGCGTGATTGACGTACGTTTCTTCTCCTATTTGAAATAAGAAATTTTGACGCTATTGTTTTGTTTTCGATTTGTGAAGCTTTCGTGATTGCAGAAAAATGTTTGGGAATGTGTGTTATGTTTTATCTTTACGAATATAAAATCGTTAGGCTGCATCGATAATACAGCCTCTCGTGCCAATTACAATTAATTGATAGAAGTTGATGATGATAGAGAACGGCGAAGAGAAAGTTACCGATTTTTTGCGCTCGTCTTTAGTAAGACGCGAATTCCAACGCGTTTAATGTAGGGTGAAATGCAACGATCGACCATTGTGATAACAGCACCCAAGGCGTTTTGTATATAATTACACTTTTGTAAAAATAAACGACCGTTCTCATTGTAATCGTAACGCTCGCTTAATAGCGCGGAAGAAAGTGATTGGTTTTGCCGATTGAATAAAAGAGCTACTCTTGACGAAGCAATGCTGCTGAGGAAGCTCAGAAACAAATTGTTAAATATTGTTTGTATTGAAGTTTAAGATACATGTTCGAGAAATTATCAAAAATTGGTCGAAAATGTACTTCTATATAAATCGCAATGATCGCAAAATTGTTAAAAACAATGGAAAAAAAACCGTCGGAATAAAAATTTTTTTTATATAAACGCATTTGGTTTTGCGCGAATTAAAAGAAAAGATATCTTAGAAATTGATTCTACGATAGGAATTTTAATTTCCACAAGTTTTACCGTTGTTTTCCCAACAATATAAGTTTTGACGCATCGAGTATCAAAAGCTTGACAAAAGAAAGTTATAAATGTCGTCGTCTCGTTTGCTCAACCGGATCTTACACACGGAATTTACGGGAATTCCCGCGATCGCTCGATACAGTCCGAAGTGCGATTTGGAAAATTTATATTCGAGCGTAGAGTTAACCGGGAACAAAGTCGTGACCAAAACAAGTCGATTCGCCCCATCGACCTGCTGCCATAATTCGCGTTGCTTCATTACCGGTTCGATCCGTTCCTTTCCGCAATTAAGCGCAGCGCGCACCTCACACGTTTGGCTAAGTAGAACGGCGCGGATTGATTTGACGGCGGATCATGTATCTTAAATTGACCAATTTCGATTACCGCGATACGTAAACGACAACATCGATCGATCGACGAGCGATCGTTACCAATCCGGACGCGTTTCCGTTACGCGGAACGATCGCCCAATCGTATCGGAATTTCTTACTTGTGCAGCCACCGCGTGTGGAACTTGCGAATCGAAAATTTTCGCAGCACCCATCAACGACTACGCTTTAATTCCTGATATACGTCCTGCGCAAACTTTCGGAAATTTTTTTACGATTTTGCGCTCGTAAAAAAAAAATCTTAGAAAGCTGACGTTCTGAAAATATATTAGGTGTCGTAATTATATGACAATTTGCTTATAAAACAGTGTACATATAACCCCATACGTTTCTGATTAATTTTTTTAAAATTAAACAAGACTTCAATCGCAATTGAAGTACTAAAAATTATATAAATACAGATAAAGAATAGAAATTGGCTCGTTTACATTTTTCTGCGCGTTGATTACTCGCTTCGGGATAATTCCCACACTTGGAACGTGCACCATGAACCTACGAACGCGTTCGATCGCTATTGATGTCTTCGGAAACGAGTTCGACGCGTGGAATCTCGCGAGTGTTTTCTAAGTGTAGCGCCTTCGTCGTTGGCATTGCAACCAGAAATGGCTTTTCAACGAGCGACTGGCGACATGCCAGTGCATATAACAGTTCACCGTGGACTGGCTAAGCAACTTGCTCACCTACATGCAGCAAGCCGTTCACACGCCGCGAGATCCTTCCGCTCGCGCGTTCGTTATCGCCTTACATTTCTACCGCTGAATGCTAGACCGGCCGGTAAGGCACGGACGGCGAAGTCGGTCACTGTCTCCCAGAATTGCTCGCGTCCGCACAGAAATCGATCAATTTATTGAACCGATTCGTTGTTTCGAGTTGACTGCGTTTTGTATTGGGGATTTACGTTTAATCTGCTGTTTATTCCGGATGATCTTTTGCGAAAGAAAAACATAAATACGCGAGATCTTTATTCTTTCGTTAACTGCGAAAAGTAAAACTTTATTTCAGCACTATTTGCAGCATTGAGTAATAAAGATCGATGTACACAAAGAAAGGAAAAGTGTTTTTCTCAGTCACGTGTGCGCCTATCTCTCGAACCGGTCTTTTAGAATATCTGTTTAAAAAAATTTTGTGATCCAATCTTCTAGCGCAACTTGTTTTCTCTTCTCCGAATTTATTATAGCTGGAAGCTAGTTTATTAGCTAGAAGCTGAAACGCGAAATAAGTGGAATCATACATATTGCAACTGGTCTTCTGGCGAAATATCGTATTATTTTTCGAAGACACTTTCTTTTTTTTTTCTTTCTACAATGTGCGCGTATAATTGTTGCACAATAAGAAAATACGAACGAATTGAGATTTACTGATTGTATAATTCGCTTTTTCAGTTTTGTTTTGCGCTTTGCAGTAAAACACACGTTCAGACAAGTTTTAATTTCTGACCATGTGTGTCCACCTCGAAGTACCTTCCTCAAGTGCATTTCAAGCAGTTTCTTATTCCTGCGTGTTCCCAGTTAGGACGTCCATTAGAAACTATTCTGTAAAGCTTGTTGTGTGTGTGTTTGTGTGTGTATGTGTGCGTGCGTTTATTACTGCCGGTAGCATACGTAACCTGCAGTAGCTGCAACTGTAAGTAATTGGGTGGTTAACAAAGTAATTTTCCATCATTTAGGGGAATCGATTTATTTTAAAAGTCGACCGCTTTAATTAATAAGTCAACTGGCCGCAATTAAACTTCATTTGTTGGTATCGCCGTGTTTTCAATTACGCAACTCACGCGCGTGCGAGTTCTATAAAAGCCATAGATAAGCAAACTTCGCGTGTTATCACCAATGTCTAGTTTTGTTAGCCAGAATTAGTTCGCGGAGAACAGTTTACGGCGCATTTTTTTTTTTTTTTGCGCCGCAAAAAAGTTACGTTTCTGAGAAGCCATAAACGTTACATAAGTTCTGAATTATTCGACATCGGATCCGCGTTTTTTATGTAAAAAGCTGATTCGGAAATTGCAATTTTCACTTGTGCGAGCGATTTTCGATGATTACATTTGCGATTAATAAAATTGCATTTTGCAATATATTAAAACTATAAATAATAATTAATTACTTATAAACTGTTCTTTGTTACAATTTACATAATGAAACGAATTTAAAGTCCCGTATTACTACCGAAGTAAAACGATATCTTGAATATATATACACACGCACACACACACACATACACGAAATCCAACAGTGATACTTAATACTAGCCGCTGGCGAGC